TGCCCACCTTCTGAGGAAGCTGGGCCATTGGGCCGCGCGAGGCTTCAGACAGAGCTTCGCATCCGGAGAAACTTTGGACGCTTTGGGGTCTGAAGCAGCACATCCAGGCTGCTTTGATGTAAGGCGCTGGCCTTATTCGGCTTCCCGAAGTGGTCCGGAGCTTCCGAAGTGCTTCAGAGCCACCTCGAAGATCCAGCCATAGGGTATAATGCAGAAACAATAAAATATCTATAACTTTGTTGTTTTTTTTGCCTGATTTGGATGATATTTTCAGGGTGGGTGGATTCCACAGAGAGCATGAAGCCTGCCAAGTTTCAAGAAGATTGGTTTAGGGAGTTGGGGGGAACTGTGCCCCAAATTCTTGAAAGCCAAACTCATGTCATGTCTAGGTATTACTACATAGGGGGATAAAAACTGCAGGGGTGGTGGACCCTGGTGAGGCCACAAAGCCTGCCAAGTTCCAAGAAGATTGGTTTTGGGAATTGGGGGGAACTGTGCCCCAAATTCTTAAAAGAATCAGGGTGCTGAGGGAGCTAGCTGGGGTTATTGCAGGGCCCCTGGCACGGCTCTACGAGCGATCGTGGTGCTTGGGCCAGGTGCCAGACGATTGGAAGGTAGCTAATGTGGTCCCCATCTTCAAGAAAGGGAAAAGGGAGGACCCGGGCAACTATAGGCCCGTCAGTCTCACTTCAATCCTGGGGAAACTCTTTGAGAAGATCATCAAGGAGCACATTTGTGATGGGCTGGCATCAGAAATGATGCTCAGGGGCAATCAGCATGGATTTATTAGGGGGAGATCATGTCAGACCAACCTGATTGCCTTTTATGATCAGGTCACAAAGGCCATGGACGCAGGTGTCGCGGTGGATGTAGTCTTTCTGGACTTCAGCAAGGCCTTTGACACCGTCTCTCACCCCATCCTAATTAATAAACTAGGCGACTGTGGCATAGATGCCTACACAGTCAGATGGATTGCAGATTGGCTGAAGGGTCGCACTCAGAGGGTGGTGGTGGATGGATCATACTCGACTTGGGGGGAGGTGGGTAGTGGAGTCCCTCAGGGCTCGGTCCTGGGCCCTGCGCTGTTCAATTTCTTCATCAGCGATCTTGATGTTGGGGTGGAAAGCAACCTGTTTAAATTCGCTGATGACACCAAAATTTGGGGGGAGGTGAGCACGCTAGCAGGGAGAGAGAGATTGCAGAAGGATCTGGATAGGTTACAGGGGTGGGCAAACAGGAACAGGATGTGTTTCAATACGGACAAGTGCAGGGTGCTGCACTTGGGTAGTAGGAACCAGCAGCACACTTATACGATGGGGAACTCCCTACTTGAGAGCACGGAGGCGGAAAGGGATCTTGGTGTCATTATTGACTCCAAGATGAACATGGGCCGACAATGCGAGGTCATGGTTGGCAGGGCTAACCGGACCTTGTCGTGCATCCACAGGTGCATCTCGAGTAGAGCCAGGGAGGTGATCCTCCCCCTCTATGCGACGCTGGTCAGGCCGCAGCTGGAGTATTGTGTCCAGTTCTGTGCGCCCCATTTCAGGAGGGATGTGGACAACATGGAGAGGGTCCAGAGGAGGGCCACCCGCATGATCCGGGGACAACAGGGCAGACCCTACAGTGAGAGACTGCGGGACCTGAACCTATTCAGCCTCCACAAGAGAAGGCTGAGGGGGGACCTGGTGACCGTCTATAAACTCACTAGGGGGAACCAGAAGGGTTTGGGGGAGACGCTGTTTCCCCTAGCCCCCGCTGGCATAACAAGGAGTAATGGGCACAAGTTGATGGAGAGGAGGTACAGATTGGACATCCGAAAAAACTACTTCACAGTTAGGGCGGCTAGGAGCTGGAACCAACTTCCAAGGGAGGTGGTGCTGGCCCCTACCACTTCGGAGATCCAGCCATAGGGTATAATGGGGAATCAATGAAATATTTATAACTTTCTTGTTTTTTGTCTGATTTGGGTGAAGCTTGCAGGAGTTGTAGCCTCTACTGAGAGCATAAAGTCTGCCATGTTTCAAGAAGATAGGTGCAGGGGTTTGGGGGGAACTGCCTCTCAAGCTGCGCACAAGCAAAACTGGTGCCATGGGTGACGCTGCGTGTGTTAAGGCGCAGCGGGGTGACAGCTGCAGGGATGGTGGCCCCTGCTGTGGCCACGACTCCTGCCAGCTGTGGAGGAGATCAGTGCAGGGGGTTCTGGGGCCCTGCACCTCTTACTGCTGATGGACAAAACTCATGCCATGGGTGCTTGTGGGACTGACTGGCTCTGTCTTGGGGTGTGGGAGACACTACCGCAGGCCTGGCTGCTAAGCTACTGTGTTCCCAGTTACCAGTCAGTCATGATTCACACAGGGACCAGCACAATACACAGGACCTAGCTAATGTAGCCAGTTAATTGCCATCAAATAACACCTACAAAATCAGGCTAAGGAGAGGAAAGACTCAATATGGACAAGCAACTGCCCCAGGACAGACACAGGCAGTCCCACAAGCACCCACGGCACGAGTTTTGTCTGTCAGCAGCAGACAGGGGTGCCGGGCCCCAGAACCCCCTGCACCCATCTCCTCCACAGCTGGCAGGTGTCGTGGCCGCAGCAGGGGCCACCATCCCTGCAGCTGTCACCCCGCTGCACCTCAACCCCGCTGCGCCTCTTGAAGTTTTTGATATATGACATCAATCTCTTCTCCCTTGTCCAGGTGATAGGTCACCTGGTCGTAGAAGGAAATGAGATTGGTCAAGCAAGACCTACCCGCAACAAACCCGTGCTGGCTATCCCTTAAGATGTTGACGTCGGCCAGTCCATTAAGGATAGCCTCTTTAATAAACTTTTCTAAGATCTTCCCCAGGATAGAGGTCAGGCTGATGGGCCTATAGTTAGCCGGATCCACTTTCCTCCCTTTCTTGAAGATAGGCACCACATTGGCCTATCTTCTAGAAGCATGGCATTGACACCACAAATTGGGAAAAACTAGCCTGGGAGAGAGCTACATGGGAATGCACCTTACTTCGCAGAAAACTGTCTTGCCTTGGAGGCAAAAAAATGGCAGAAATGGAAGGACAGGAAACAAGACCAAGACAATCTGCAGTTTGACCCCCGCCTCCCCCCTTAACCATCACTTGTGGCATTTACCAGAGACTCAGACTTAAGGATCAGCCTTCGTAACCATCAATGGACTCATCTACAACCCTTTAATTAACCAGTGGGAGTGTGGTGGACTTGCTGCTTTTGCCTGGCAAGCCTGGCTTGGAGAAGGACACTTTGGACTGGTGGAACATTTCCACCAATCAGGTAACAGCTGGAAGGGGCTTGCCCCGCCCCTGCTCAGAGGGTGGGGGGGGGGGCTGCCCCCGCCCCTGCTCAGAGGGTGGGGGGAGGAGTCCCTGGACCTGATTGAAGACTGTGCTTTGCAGGTCCAGCACCCTTCAGGGGCGGGGCCACTGGTGTAAATAAAAGCCCAGTGTGCTCAGCATGCTGGGCAGACGGGGAGGGATGGTGAGGAGAGTGGAGCTCCAAAGACTATCATGGGGACCCTGCCAGAGCTTCAATGGTATGTGGATCAGCGCATGGTGCTCAGGCTCTGGAAGGTGCTTGATGTGACCTGAGCCCACAAACCTGGCAAGTGTCTGAGTGACGCAGTGTGTGGATTGGTGCACAGAGAGTAGGCCCTGGGAGCAGCTTGAGGCTGCTCATGTTAGCCCCAGCTCTAGGCTAACCAGAGCCCCACAGTATGGCTCACCATTAAACTAAGAGCCCTGGTGCCCAGAGCAGGGCCCAGGAAGGGGAATGACCCCTGGCATGAGGCTGGGGAGTCGGAGCTAGTGAGGGCTTGGCCCCCATAAGAGCTCCCTGAATGCCCAATGTGGGGCACATGGTCCAGAGGGAAGAACCCTCAACTTGAGGCCAATGGCTCCAGGAGGCCTGAGACGGTGTGGGGTCCCAGAGGCCAGATCAACAGCCCCCAGGGGAAGGACCATGAGTTAGCAGGAACCTGGGTGCCGCAGGGGAGGTGCCCCCAGGCAAGGGACCCTGGGGGGAGTGGGGCTGGGGGGAGAAGACCCTATCCCATTTGAGGGACCAAGTGGTTGGAACCCAGATAGGGTGCGTCTAATACCTGGTATCAGTATGTTTCCTATTCGGTATCTATTGCTATTGTTGGTGTTATAAATAGTTGGGTGTATTAATTCTGTATAATGGGCTCTGTAAGGATGTCTTTATTAGCTAACCCACTTGTGGTATAAACTTGGTGGATTGACTGTCCTGGGATCCACCCCTCCCTAGTGCTGACTTCCTCTTGCCAACAGACCTTTATATGCATATTTGTATCTGTATCTGTAATTATATCTATCTTATCATATCGATCTTAAAGAGTTTTATATATAAATGTTGGTAACTCAATCAATTGTATATAGTTAAGAACTTTGGTCTTGGGCTAACTCTATGGTTTGGTCCATGATGCTGTTTCTGCCATTCCCACTTTTCCATCTCCTGTTTTTGAAGGGGGTGCATTCAAAGTATTGAGATCCTTGCATGTTATCAGAGAGAAAACAAACACAAAAGAGTTTGGCACCCCCTTGCACATGCATACCAATATGGGATATGCAGGTAAAAAACACAGTCCCCGGAATCTAGTCTTGCATTCCCTGGGCACTGCCCCAACAAGCCACACGAGAAGGCTGTTGTACCAGTACAGCAGTAGCAGGCTTACGCTATACAGTAGAAAATGACCAGGACCTGAAAGCATTCACCCCAGTATCCGGGAGGAGCTCAGATGAGGGATTGCTGAACTCCTGATTGCAGTGTTCAACCAGCACTAAAACCAGCTATGGTACTAGAGGACAGGAGGGTGGCAAAATGTGACTCCTGCATTTAAAAAGGCTCTAGAGGGGATGCAGAGAACTGTAGGCTGGTGAGCCTAAATTCTGATCCTGAAAAACTGGTAGAGAAAATAATAATAATAATAATAATAATAATAATAAAAGAACAGTTCAGCAAATTGATGAACATGGCTTGCTGGGGAAGAAACCACACAGCTTTGTCAAGGGGAAATCATGCCTCGCCAACCCATTAGAGTTCTCTTAAAATGGCCGTGAGGGAAGAGAAGCTGGGACCTGCATAGGAAGCAAGCTAATTCCTCCAGGCTCTTTCTGTTGTGTTTTCCATTCCACTTGGAGCCCAATCCCAAGGGGTGCGCCGAGTCCCATGTGGGACACTCCTTTGAGCTGAGGCTGTCACTTGTGTTCTTTGGTTTCTGTTTCCCCGAGGTGGCTGGGTTCCGGCTGGAGGGGAGGCAGAGGCCGTAGGAAGGGGGTGACTGGAGACTTCCCAAACCTGATTTTTTGCTGTGTGGATAGAGGATAAGGACTAGAGTGTGTTTTGTGGCCAAGGTAGGCTGAGGTTGCCTGGACTGGAAGGCAGGATTCGGCAGGGGAAAAACAGCACAGGGTTGGGGGCCACATGGGTCCTATCTTGCCACACTCTCAAGCCCCGCAGTTGGTCCAGAGGCCTCTGCTTTCTCCTGATGCCTGAAGAGTGCAGGAACTGTCACCGTAGCTCTGATGTCTTGGCCTGCAGAGGGGAGAGGCTCTCCATGTGTGTCCAGCATGGCAGTGGCTCAGGCCTTCAGGGTCAAGGCAGGGATATCATTCTCGGCAGCTTTGGGCACTGCTGGCAGAGGGCCCTGGATGCGGCAGTAGATGTCCGATGGGTCACGGGGCTGTAGCTCTGTGATTGGGGGGGGAGTAGGAAAATGTCACTGCCCTGAAAGAGTTACTCACCCGCCCTGGGCTCAACAGGGCCCTTGGTGCATCCTGCCTCCCCCCAGGAATGTGGGGTGCTTGTGTGCCATGGGGTTCTGGAGCCATTGGCATCTGCCCTACTCCAGGGACCACCATGCCCCTCAGGCAGCCCCCAGCTAGAAGGGGCCCCTCTCTTTGCTGGTGCCAGTTTCTTCCAGGAACTGGCACCAGTCAGGGTTGTATGTGGGGGTACCCCAGGCTCCTACCTGCATAGTGCTCTTGTCCTGAGCTCCTTGTTCTGGCCTGGCGCCGTCTGCAAGAGGAAAGACATTTGAACATGGGCAATTGGCCATGGGGAAATCCAATGCCTAACTGCACCTCTGTGCCACTGCTCTGGGCTTGGCACCACTCCTGGAAGGGCAGCTGTATGACCCCACAGGGTCTGTGCTGGGGTAACCTGAGGGACCCATAACATGGTGTGCCCCCCTGCTCCAGGCCCACAGAGGCCGAAGGTGTCAGATAGGGACAGCTCCAGCTCCAGGCCCAGGCCCAGGCCCAGCCCAGCTGAGACTAGGAGAGGAGGTGCTGGGCTGTAAGGGAGCACCACAGGGTCCTGTTATTGTAAGGGTGAAGGAGAAGTAGAGAGCCTGAGCTGGATAAAGCTGCCAGGGAACAGGTATTGGGGGAGTTAGCTGATGCCAGCCCTTAACACAGAGCTAGCTGTGCTACTGCAGCACCATGGGCTACAGCCTTGCACAGGAGACAGGACAGGAGCACAGAAGAGATCAGCAGCAGGGAGCCACCCTGAGGCTGATCCAGCAAGGTGAACCAGGAAACTCCTGGGACAGCCCAGGGAGGCACCTGCCCGGTAGGGCCAGGGCCAGGGAGGTGTATGATCAGAGGTTTTGAACCCGGAGGGGAAGTCTGGCCCTGGAGGTTGCTGGGACAAGAGCTGCAGGGCAAGGGGAATGCAGGTGCTCTCCTAGCTGGCACTGGGGCTGCTGTGAAGGCAGGCCAACAGGGTGCTGGTGCCCACAGGGGAATAGCACTGGAGGCAAGGGGAGTCCTTGTCATGCAGACAGGTAGCCATGGTTTGTGTTTAGACACAGAGTGGGTTTCATTTGTCTTTCCTAGAAGTGTTTGTCCAGTGTCAGGAGGCATGCCAGTATTTACAGACAGGCTAGCAGCCTTGATTTCAGGGCATACCATAGGCCTGTGGTGGGACGGCGGAGGGGCAATGGAGTTTAAAGTCCAAAGAGAAAAAGGGAGGAAGAAGAAAGATGCGCTTGGGCAAAGGCCAGGGTCATGAGGCCTGTGCAAAACAAGGACAGAGATAAGGGCCAGGGGGCCCAGGAGCTGAAGCACCTGCCAGGCATGGGCATGGCTGTAGGGGGGTCAGAAGCTGTGATTCGCCCTGAGGGCTGCAGGTGCCCTGGCAGAACTAGCTGGTATTTCTAGAAACTGAGGTTTGCTCTAGGACATATTAGGCAGCCTCCCCTCCAATCAAACAATGACACCAAGGAGTGAGAGGTGAGTTTGGAGAGCACTAGGGGCTGGAGCTGGGTAAGGGTTGTGTTACCACTGGGCATGTCATAGTTCCTTGTAGTTCTAACCTGGCTACACAGCAACCCTGTGTGCATAGGGGTGGGCTGGGTGTCCCTACACCTCTGCCCTTGGAGCAGCCCCCCAGGGAGCACCAAGGACTATGACCCACCTGCTGCTGTCCCTGCTGCACCCCCAGCAGTTGTCAGGGATGGGCAGAGCAGACCTAAGACATGCCCCAGACTGACCTGGAGAGCACAACCCACAGCAGCAGGGCCCCAGCAGCCAGCACCAGTGGCATGACCACAGCGATGGCCACGTACCCTGGCGTGATCCCCGCCGGCTTGGACTCCTGCTTCCCTGCAACACAGACACCCATGGTCCTGGCATATGGGGGCTCCAGGCTACTCTCAGCCCCAACGCACACCCTGGGGGCAGAGTCCATTACCTGAGATATCCGTTTCAAAGGCCCATTGCGATGCCTTCCCCAGGCCAGCAGCTGTAAGGCCCTGGACTGTCACCGTGTAGTTGGTCCCGGGTCTCCAGTGGGGCAGCCTGTACTCAGTGACCGATGGGTTCACCTGCACCACCTGCTCCTCCAAGAATCCATCATCGTTCTCTCTCCAAGCCGTGATGTTCAGCTGCAGGGAACAGCGCAGCACTGGGAGGACTCAGGCCTGCCCCACCTTGGAGGGATCCAGGGCAGGAACCTGAGACCCCATGGGAGCTTCTCGGGTCCTGGACCTATTTCCCCACACTGTCCTTTGGGACCTCTCACAGCAGGGACAGAAGGACCTTGCCCAGAGGCAGACCCGATCTCCCAGCATGGCCTCACGGTGCACAGTGCCAAAGGCAGCCAGCAGATTGATAGGCTGTGCTGGGCACTCAGGAGCAAGTCATAGAAATCACAGTCATCGAGCCCTACAGAAGTGGGGCTGGCAGAGACCTGCAGAGGTAACAGCTAGTCCAACTCCTGCCTGGAGCAGGATCAGTCCTGTGCAAACCAGCCTAGACACATCCAGTGTGCAACCTCTGAGGAGCACAACACCATCACCCTGATATAGCACCAGGCATCATAGCTCCCAACCCTGCCACAGGGAAAGCAGGGGGACCATGACTGCCAATGTTTTGCTCTTGCAAAGCGTATTAACATGTACTCGAGAGATTGCAGGCAAAGGCCCCCACTGCAGAGGAAGGCAAAACCCCCCAGTCCAGGCCAGTCTGACCTGGGGGAATTCCTGACCCCAATGCAGTGTGGGTCTGACCCTGACCCTGAGCAGATGGGTTAGACCCTCTTTCAGGACCGTCTGGGGATGAGTCCAGCAGGGCCATTGGCACAACCCAGTCCCCATCCCCAGCCTGGGCTCCAGCAGCACCCAGAGCCTCTGACACGGGCTTTAAAAACCCCTGAAACATGGAGCAGAAGGTGGGGGAGGCAACCAGCAAAGGGTTGGGGCAACAAGTCCAAGGGCCCTGGTACCTGGTACCCGAGGATGTCCCCGTGGCAGGACGGCAGCTGCTTCCACTGCAGGCATCCGGTGCTGGGGTCCCTCAGCTCTATCTGGGGCTGGCCTGGCACTAGAGCAAAGGAACGGCAGGTCACTGCCCAAGCCCTGGGGCCAGGCCCAGCACCCAGAGCTCAGCACCATGGGGAGAGCTGCAGCTGTGGGGGAAGCAGGAGCTGAGAAATCATGCAGCTCCTTCCTGGTAGCGAAGGCAGTAGAGGAATTACCTTGCCCCTGCCCCTGCCCCTAGGAAAGGTGCAGGTGCAAGGGTGCAGCATCCTCATACACAGCTGCTCCCCTGCCCCAGCTCTGCACACAGCCCGCAGCTCCCACCCACGGCTTGCGATTCACCCCCCACCCCTTACCTGTTTCATTTGTCCTGAGCAGCTGCGTGTAGAGGACAGCACTGGGGGAGGATCTGGTAGCCCCATATCGTGCAGAGATGGTGACGTTGTAGAGGGTGAAGGGTTGCAGCTTGCTGCAGGTAAGTGTCCCAGCCCGGCCTCCTAATGTCTCCCCTGCGCTGTCTGCTGGCCTCCGGCAGGGGTTGGCCTGGGGTCCAGCCAGCAGGCACTTGACCTCCATGGCTGAAATGCTCAGGCAGGACTTAGAGGGTGTGCAACTCCAGCTGAGGCTAATGCTAGTGGGTGTAATCTTTGGTGTCCCAGTGGTGATGTTGGGGCTGTCTGTGGAACAAACATCACATAGGGGTTACTCCCCACCCCCCAGATACCATGGCCCTGAAGGGTGCTGCAGTCAGACCAGCCCTGACCTCTGTGCAGGGGTGGGGGGGTCAAGAGGCCAGGCTCACTGATGGCAGCCCGGACAAAAGATGTGTGACCACCATGTCTGTGCAGAGCCCAGGGGCGGCTGCGGTCCAAATACACCCAGTTCCTTTGCTGTCACCCAGCTTTCTCCTCACCCTAGCACAGCTCATGTTCTTCCATGCAGTGCTGACGGGGCAGCAGCCCATGAGGGGCTGGAATCTGCAGTGAGGACACAGCGTATGGGGAGAACCCCTGCCCCGCATACACGTGCTGGCTGCAGGCACCTGCCAGGGCCCCAGTGACAGCAGCAACCCCTGGACCTGCAGCCTCTCCCTGCTGCATCTCCTCCCATGCCTGCTTGGATTTCTTTTTTTTGCAGCAAAGGGTCACTGTGGCCAGATCCCTGCTGGAAAGAAGTACAGCAGGAGGAAGGAAGGAGCACAGCCAGAGTGAGCAAAGGACGGGGTTGTGGAGGAATCCTGCTCCAGCATCCTGCTCACCCTGGGGGTAGTATGTTCCCCTTCTCCATCCATCTCTCTCTCTCATGTGTCTACCACTCTGGTTCTTGAGCAGCCCACTCTGCCTAATGACTGACCACAGGTAGCAGGGTGGGAACTCATCCTCTCAATTGTTTTGGCAATAACCTCATGGCCTGGGGGCAGGAGCAGGATCCCCTGTCACTCCACTAGGTAGTGATGATGCAGTTCAAATTAATTGGCTAGCATCGAACACCACCTGGTCAGGATTGGATCAGGATGGTGATGAAAGGTCTCCACTGTACCAAGCAGGGTGGACCCCTTGGGAGAGGGTTCGGGCATGCCTTTTTTATTTCCTTGGCTCAGATGACCAAGGGAAGCTCATTTTTGTGCTTCAGGCTAAAGGAAGCAGCCCAAGGTCTTGCAGTGGGTCAAGCACCCTCAAGGGCTACAAGGCCTGTGTACCCCAGGGGGCACAGGGCCCAGAAACAGTCCAGACCCCTGGGTGGTGGCAGCGGTGACCCCAGACTTATGGGTGTGCTCCAGGAAGGGAGCTGGCCAGACGTGAGGCACCCCCAGGGAGGCACTCGGAGCCCGGTAGGTGCTCGGGCGCAGCGCAGTGGGTGGCTCAGTGCAGGAGCGCCCGCTACTGGCCCGCCACGGGGGTAAATCGTAGATCAGTTAGAGGGATCCAAATTCCCTGGGCCTTGAATGCTGGTGTCTGCCAGAGAGAGAGGGACAGGGGAAAAGCCCTGGTCAAACCCAGGTCCCTCTCCCTTCCAGCCTCCGCTCCCTGCCACCATGTGACAGCAGATGGGCAAGATGGACCACGGCCTGACCCAGGACACGGCAGCTCTTCTGTTCTTATGACGAATCAAGTCAGCAGGGCTTGATGAAATTCACCCTGGAGAATGTGCAGGTGAACCATGTTACAGGCCCATTTGGCACAGACCAAATCCAGAAGCCTGGGGAAGGGAGCTTGGGTAGACGCACAGAGCTTGGGTAGAAGTAGTGCAGCTTGCTCTTACACAGGTCCATGAATCTGATTCTCTGACTTTACAACAAGTGCATGATTTCTCTCTGGAAGATGGAGGGCTGGATGACACAGTCCCATGCACTGGATCACACAAAAGTGTGGGGTTGTTTTGCAGCTTGATCTGGTGCACATGGTCAGGCTGGGTCCCAGGATGGGGCCACAACTGGATGCAGTGCATGGGCACGTGGGGTTGCTCCATGGCTGGATCTGGTGCATGGGGTCTGTCCCACAGACCGATCCCATGCATTGAGCATGGGCTGGATGAGGCCTGCAGACCAGCCCTGCACATGGGACCCAGCCCACAGACCAGCCCTGCACCACTCATCTGGCCTGTGAGGCTGCACAGCTGGAGCACTGCTGTGCTGGGCAGAGCTCTGGGGGGTCCCGCTGCAGCTGAACGTGGCCTGGCCGTGGGGAGCTGGAGGGGCTCAGAGGAACTGAGCCAGCTGCCACAACCCACCCAGCAGGGCCTTGGCCTCCTGGCTCCCTTGGCAGCCAGCCCTGGACACGGCCCTGCCCCGGCTGGCCGGAGAGACGTGGAGACTCCACGGACCAAGCTGGTTCTTGTGCTGCAGTGAGCCAAGTGCGACAGTGCAGGGGCAGCTCTTCCCTCACCCACCTGCACAGATCACGTTCTCTTCAATGTGGCGCCATCCGCTCCAGCCATCCCCCACAGCCCAGACATTCTGCTTATCCTGATCTCGCCTCACACAGTAGATCACAGGGAGCGATGGAGGAGACCCATCCAGGCAGCTCAGCTTCACCCTCTCATTCCGGCTATAAAACGGTCGGTCTGGTGCAACCTGGAGTCTGGGGTCCCATTGGGGCCTGCGGCATTTCTCTGCAGAGACAAGACCCATGTGTTGGTGAGGAATGTGTCCTGGCCAGCCCGGGATGGGTCTGGGGCTGTGGGATGATTTCCCAGGAGCTCCGAGAGCCCTTGACCTGGAGCAGCTATACTGGGAGTGGAGCACTGCACGGGGACAGGTCCTGCACGGATCCCCACCCATCCAGCCAAAGGCACGGGGGTGTCAGGGGCTCCCCAGTCCCCACAGCAGGCTGCTTACACCCAGCTACATGGGGAAGCACCAGGGACCCCAAACTGCTGGAGGAGCCTGGGCCTGGACCTGGCACTGACCCAGGAACATCCCAGACAGACGCAGGGTGCAGGATTTGGCCACAGGGCTGCAATGGGGAACACTCCTTCCCGCTGTCCTCCCTGTGCTCCACCCCCAGTAGAGCTGCCCCAGGCCAAGGGGGCTGGTGAGGACACAGGGGGCTTTAGCCAGGGCATGAGTGTGTCAGGCAGGGAAATACCCAGCCTGCAGCTGGGGAGCCAGACCGGGGCTGGTGCTGGCAATGGCAGTCTCCTGACGCCCCAGGGACACGGACCAGAGCAGGAATCTCTGCTCCACCTCAACACACGTCTCTCTCTGAGGGTCGCTGGCCTCCCCCTGCTCACAGCTCCGGTGGGGAGCTCCGGCCCTGGGCTCACATCCCCCTCCAGCCCCATCGACCCCCGCCTGCGCACAGCACTCACCGATGCACCTCACGTGGCTCGTGTCCCACTCAGGATACCCGGCTCGGTCCACACACTGCAGCCAGCCTGAGCCCCACTCAAACTGCTCCTGGCGACAGCTCACCTGGACCATCTTACCGACGTCAAGCTCTGTCGGGAGGGATTCTGTAAACATGAGCTGGAGCCAGTTTCCACTAAGTGTACAAAACCCTGGAGGGAAAGAAAGATCCTGGTTCAGCAACACAGCTCCCTAATGATGCTTCCCTCCGCTGCAGGGCCGTGCCAGCTGCACAGCTCATTGCCAGCCCCTCTCCCTTCAGCTGAGAGGATGTTCACCCCTGCTTGGACTGTGCCCTCCGCCCACAGCCATCTTTTCCCCAAAAACCCCTCAGCCCACATCCCCCCCCGATGCCCCACAACATTAGGGCACCCACCAGCCCCTTTGCCCCCCACCAGCACACACATCACCTGACAACTCAGCACCCTCACAGGTGCCAAGACATGGGCCCCGCCTGTCCTGAGCTGCCTGTGCACCCCTCCAACCTACCCACACCATGGTGCAGCTGCTCCCTTGTGACAACAGCCCTCAGCCCCAGGACCCCCCCAGCACCCGGCCTGCTCCCCAAGCTGCTCCCCTGCCCTCTCTCCCCACAGCAGCCCCTCCATTTCCTGTTGAAGGACAGCAGCAGCCAGCACCAGGGCTGAATTTGGCCCCTTCCCTCAGCCACACCGACAGCCCTGGACCCCTCGCTGCGAGGCCCGTTCCCCGGTCTGCTCTCCCCTTGACCTGCCACTCCTGGGCTGCCCTGCGCCTCCCCCCACGTGCACCCTGAGCCCCTCTGCCAGCTCCTGCCTGCCCTTGGCCCTGGCGGTATCCAGTGCAGGGAGCCTAGGCCCTGGCTGTGGGGCACAGACCAGAGCTACCCCGAACCATGGCAGCGGCTGAGATGTCAGCGCAGATGCCCAAGGCTTGTGCGGGGAGAAAGGCGGGTGGGAGGAAGCCCAGGTGCAGCAGGGGCCACAACGCAGGACACCAGAGCCCCTGGGAGCCCCGTGAATTGGGGAGTCTCAAACTCACCAACACACCAGGCAGTCGGAGTCCACATACTCCTGCTCCCTGACTGCGTGCATGTGCTGTTGGCCAGCGAGGGCCGATACCCCTCAGGGCAGCTCCATGTCACCGAGTCTCCTGGCTTGTAGGAGGGCTGTTTGGGTGTGAACTCAGCCCGGACATCCCTGGGGACTGGCTCTCCGCACTTTTCTGCAGAAGGAATATGGGGACGGCGTCACTGGGAAATGGCTCCAGCCCCAGCTGGACCCTGCGTGCTGTTCTCATCGGCCACTACAGAGCCACCACCTGGTCTCACGCAGACGTCCTACCTTTGGCTGCTGAATGACCAGGACCTTTGTCACCCCCTCTGATTCAGGGATTCCCCTGCTCAGGCAGTCAGGAGCCACGGGGAAGGCAAGAGCCAGCTGTGCCCATCCCATCCGGCCTCCTGGCCACAGAGAACCTCAAACAACACAGCTGCTGCCCGTGGCAGCCCTGCCCGGTGCATCCCTGCGCAGAGCATCAGGACCAGCAGCGACCCAGGCTGAATCTCCTAGAGAGATGCCCATGCTCTGGCCCAGAAAGCTTCTGGAGCAAGTTTGTGGATAACACAAAACTAGGAAGGATTGTGAACACGTTGGAGGATGTGAGCAAAACCTGGCTGGAGCTGACCAGATGCCATTCCATGCAGACGATGGTCTGGTGCTGTATGTTGGAAGGAATAATCAAAAGCACCAATATGGCAGCTCTATGGAAAAGCACTTGGGAGTCTCGGCAGACCACAGACTCATGCTGAGTCTGCCGTGTGATGCAACCAAAAAGGTCAATGTGTCTTTGGACTGAATCCATAGTATTATTAGGTGCAAGACACGGGAGGTGATTGCGCCTTTCTACTCGGGACTGGTTCGGCCTCATCCAGATACTGTGTGCCGGTCTCTGCTCCCCATTTTAAAAGGGATGTGGAGAAGTTAGAGGGGGGCCAGAGGTAGCTACAGAGATGCT